TAACCAGAATCAACTCACCAGTGTCAAGCTTCTCTTCATTATTTATTTCCATAACTACAAATTTCTCACAAACTGCAAAGGTTGGCAAAGTAGAAGAAATGAACTGTCCAAACCTTTAAATAAAGAGAAAAAATGTTATGGATTTTAATTTTCCTTTCTCTCAAACAAACAACAAAGTACAAAGAAGCAAAATATGAAGGAAAAAAAGAAAGAAAGAAAGAAAGAAAGAAAAACATACTAGCACTTATTTTAAGTAATCTTTTATGGACGGTTAGGGGATTATATTTAGTTTGCTTCCTCTTGGATTATACCAAATAACATTATATACAATACTGTTTTTGACACATAGGGAAAATACAGTTTTCCAGATATATGGATTCTTTATTTATTTATTTTGTAGTTTTTGGCTGGGGCTGGGTTTGAACCTGCCACCTCTGGCATATGGGGCCAGCACCTTACTCCTTTGAGCACCATAGGCACCAGCCCATATGAATTCTTTAATTCATTAACACCCAAATTGTTGCAAAAACAAAACTGCATGAGCTAAATTAAAATGTCTTAACCTTATCTATACAGATCCACTACAGCCTGGTGATTAAGAACCTGGGTATATAGTTAAGATTAAAATCTTGGCTCTATTACTTTTATAACCAGAGTCAAGTACCTTTATATAACCAGAGTCAAGTAGCTTAACTGTGGGCATTCATTTCTAAATTTATAAAGTAAGGAAAAAGGAAAAAATACAAACTTTGATAGGTTTCATTAATAATTTTAGCAGCATGATCACTGTAGTGTTTTAAATAAACATTGTTAAAAATGACAGGTATAATTCTCCAAAATAATTCTTCAGCTCCACTTTTAAATCTGTCACCAAGCATGTTTTTAAGGTAAATGAATATAAAAGTCGGTGATGTACAAACATACACATTAGATACTAGCCTATAGCTGCAGTCCCCAACCCTCAGCCACTGATAAGATCAGTACCACTTGGCTACTAGTGCCCACCTGTTAGGAACCTGACTGCACAGGCGGTAAGCGCAGGTGAAAATGAGAAGCTTCGAGTTTATTTATAGTCACTCCCCATGTGTGACTGCCTGCACGCCGCCTCCTGTCAGATCAGCGATGGCATTAGATTCTCACAGGAGTGTGAGAAATAAGGTAAATAATGTTTACTAGTGTAAACTGCACAGGCCAGGGATGTAGGCAGCAGCCTCCTTGTGTGACTCTAACACCCAACGATCCGAGGTGCAGATGTAATGTGCTTGAATCATCCCAACCCCCCACCCCACAACCCTTCTGTGGAAAAACTGTCAGTCTCTGATGCCAAAAAGCTTGGAGACCCATGCTCTAGACAGCGTACCTGAAGAAATGGGTACGATTTCACCTGAGCTACCTGGGCAATCACACGAAAAGCAGTGATCAACTTGAGTTTAACCAATTCTCAACTTGGAAAATACTTTGATTGGGGAAGTTTGTTTTTACTGTTTTCCTTCCATAATCCCCCGCATGGGGCTTGTCATGTGAACACAAGAACTCCACAAGACTTTCTCAGACACTCCACAGTTATGCCTTACGCCACATTTCACATTGTTAGCAAAGTATCACTCACATTATATAAGAAGTTTGAACAGGCAACAATAAAATAGCATCACATTTTTGAGCAATGGAGACCAAACAGAAAAGGGGTGGCTTGACCTCTCTAGGTGTGTGTGTGTGTGTGTGTGTGTGTGTGTGTCCGTGTGCACACAGCCCTGCGCACATATGTATATAAATTAGCAAGGCTTGGAGAGGAGGGATGAGGAATTCCCGTACTGGACACTTTCGTGTGCAGCCAATCACTCTCACTGGGCTGACTGCCACACCTTTGCTCACCAGCATGCTACACGAGTAGCATATACTCACTAGTGGCTGCAACTGGCCCGGCTCCATAAAGATAAGATACTAACATATGTATGTGTTGCATGCCTCCCAGACAGTATTAACATTTCAGAGGTTATTATACAGGAATAGGAACCAATCACCTTCATCTTCATCTCACTCGTACTTTTAGTTAATAACAAGACAAATACAGAAGTTTTCACTACCTGAGAAGATCATTGCTGTTGGGAAAGCCTTGGAGTAAGAAGCTGAGCACGTTACTAATAGCAGCAATAGTAGGCTGGGATAAAGACATGTCTCGAAGAGTCAGTAGCAGCTTTGGGATTAACTGGAATTCCCTCATTAGTTTGGCATTCTTTGAAGCTTCACTATAAGAGAAAGAAGATTTTATACACTGTGCTATCACCTTTTCTGTAACTGAACAACAACAAAGGTATTAACATATACCTGGACTCTGTGAGCAGTTCAATAAAGTGTTCAAATAAGGAAAGATGAAGTTCATATGGTGCATGGAGCCAGACCTAGAATAAAGAACAGTGGTGTAAGAAGGTTTAAAAATACTGATGCCAATCCAATAAACATGTATGCTTGTGTAACTTATCTCACGTCAAATTATTTTGTAAAGCCCTATAAAACAACGCACATGAAGGGAAAAAAATTAAAAGACAAAGAAATAGGCAAAAGAATGATAGATTTTAGAATTAACCTGAAACCTATTAAAAAGCTGTTATAATG